CGGACGATACTAGTTTCACTTGGAGCGGCCCAGATGTTGCGGCGCTATATGATACTATATCCAATGACTTACGCACCATTAAGTCTTGGTGCGATTCTAATCTCCTATGCCTCAACCTATCAAAAACTAAAGTGTTGTCTAAAAAAGTACTACACAACCTTTTGTACTTAATAACACTACTATTGACGTCGTGGACTCTGTGAAGTTCTTACGACTTGTTGTAGACAACTTGTTAAAATGGGACTTTCACATCGAAGCTCTATCAAAGAAACTAAGCGCCTGCCTGTTTTGCGCTAAGATTAGTTTCTAAGGAACTTTACTTCTCAACCTCTAGAATAGTCTATTATGCTCTTTTTGAGTCATATCTTCGTTATGCCCTTCCATTCTGGGGTACTTGCTGCGCAACAAAATTTGATCGTGTTTTCAGACTTCAAAAGAGAGCACTTCGATATTTATTGAGACTGAACAGTAGAACTCACTGCCAGAATTTCTTTAAAAATTTGAAAATACTGACTCTTCCTTCTTTATTCATTTTTGAATCCGTTTGCTTAATCCGCAAGCACATATCTGCTATTCCCGAAAGGCCATCTCATAACTATCCACTTAGAATGCAGAGCACGATCTTTATCTGCCAACCCCGAGCTCAGAACTAGTTAAAGGTTCAATACTGTACAATGCCAAAAAAATGTACAATCATCTGCCTTTGGATATCAAGTCGCTTTCATTCTTTCCCGCATTTCGCAAAGCTCTAAAATCATGCTTACTGGAGAGAGCCCTATATGCTGTAAACGACATTTTTGTTGATGTTTAATTATGAACAATTTTGAATTTTAAAATTTTGATCATCTCACACACTGGTCAAAGGTCAAGTATTTAATATTTTATAACTCTAAAATCATATCTATTTACTGTGTACTGCTAAAATTGTCCATGTATATTCTTTTTGTAATTTTAAAGACTTAAATTTTTTTGAATTGTATTATTTGTATTGTGTATTTTTTGTTGTTTGTATTTTTTTGTGATTTTGTTGTTTGTGAGTGCTTTGTCGATGAAGCTGTTTTGGTTTTTTGCACAATAAAGCGTTGTTTGTTGTTTGTTTGTTTGTTCTATAAGCTCAATATTTGGTTTTCTCTATGGATACAACCGACTACCGCAAGCTGTTGCCAGGATATTTCATTAATTTTAATTATATTTTTTAGACATTGCGAATGATCGTAAACTAAAAAGCATAAAGTGTAATTGAAACCACTAATTTATTCCACTAATTGCGAGGTTCTGAATGAAACTTTAACCATATTTTTATGCTTTTTTTAATTTTCTGGCAATAGAAACGGTATGGAAATTTAGAAAAGTATAAACGGGATTAACTATTTTAGAACAAGCAAAAATTTTCATGAAGAATGTATTTTTCTCATAATGTGTCAACAATAAAAAAAATTCTCCTCTTGTAAAGACAATCCGAGGACATACTGTATATGAAAATAAAATAAACCAATATTACCTGATGAAAAGAAATTAAAGTATTTAAGGCGTATCGACATTTTCGTGGAAAGGACCATGTCTACTAATTGGATTGCGAAAATCTATAAGCTGTCGAAAGAGACGCCATCTGACAGGAGAGTGATAAATTAAAAAAGCCACTTTACGCCGCAGGAAAGGTATCGCATTTCCTTGTGGTTCGCTTGCAAGCTCTATTCACCGAGTTCAATTAGTTTTATTGGATGCAAAACAATACGTAGGAGTATGTGAAATTCGATAGCTGATTGTAAACATAGTGTATTATTTTATTTTCTTTGTTATATCGCTTTTTTTCTAAGTCTTTTAGAAAGAAAACGATAATAGAATATATTTAAGGCGTGTTTTTGCAATAGGTTATTACATTTTTAATGATTGTCGCGTGTTTAGAGAACTTGTATGTGTCACTCAAGTACTGACATTGATCTCTCTATTACGTTCTGTAGTTTAACGCTTAATTTAGAACTTTGCATTTAATAGAATAAATTAGTGGTTTCAATTAGCGTTGAAGTTTGTTCCTTTAATTTCAATGTAAGCATTCAGAACGTCAAAATTAGTGGTAGCAATTCTCAATTAGTAGAAAAAGTGACCAAACTTAACTCCTCCACTAATTATACTTCAAAATTTCGAGAAATGTCATTTTGGTAGATCTCTCTATTAAGTTCTGCAGTTTAAAGCTTCATTAAGAATCTCGCAATTAGTGGTTTCAATAAGCGTAGAAGTTTGTTCCTTTAATTTTAATGTAAGCATTGAGAACGTTAAAATTAGTGGTAGGAATTCTCAATTAGTGGAAAAAGTTACCAAACTTTTATCTTTTCCACTAATTATACTTCAAAATTTGCGAGAAATTTTGGTTGATCTCTCTATTACGTTCTGCAGTTTAAAGCTTATTTGAACTTTGCAGTTAGTAGAATAAATTAGTGGTTTCAATTATCGTAGAAGTGTGTTCCTTTAATTTCAATGTAAGCATTCAGAACGTTAAAATTAGTGGTAGGAATTGAAATATCATTTTGGTTGATTTCTCTATTACGTTCTGCAGTTTAAAGCTTTATTCAGAACCCCACAATTAGTGGAATAAATTAGTGGTTTTAATTGGCGTAGAAGTTTGTTCCTTTAATTTCAATGTAAGCATTGAGAACGTTAAAATTAGTGGTAGGAATTCTCAATTAGTGGAAAAAGTTACCGAACTTTTAACTTTTCCACTAATTTTACTTCAAAATTTGCGAGAAATGTCATTTTGGTCTCTCTATTATGTTCTGCAGTTTAAAGCTTAATTTTGAACTTTACAGTTAGTAGCATAAATTAGTGGTTTCAATTATCGTAGAAGTTTGTTCCTTTAATTTCAATGTAAGCATTCAAAACGTTAAAATTAGTGGTAGGAATTGAAATGTCATTTTGGTTGATCTCTCTATTACGTTCTGCAGTTTAAAGCTTTATTCAGAATCCCACAATTAGTGGAATAAATTAGTGGTTTTAATTGGCCTAGAAGTTTGTTCCTTTAATTTCAATGTAAGCATTCAGAACGTTAAAATTAGTGGTAGGAACTCTCAATTAGTGGAAAAAGTTACCAAACTTTTAACTTTTCCACTAATTATACTTCAAAATTTGCGAGAAATGTCATTTTGGTTGATCTCTCTATTATGTTCTGCAGTTTAAAGCTTAATTTTGAACTTTACAGTTAGTAGCATAAATTAGTGGTTTCAATTATCGTAGAAGTTTGTTCCTTTAATTTCAATGTAAGCATTCAGAACGTCAAAATTAGTGGTAGGAATTGAAATGTCATTTTGGTTGATCTCTCTATTACGTTCTGCAGTTTAAAGCTTTATTCAGAACCCCACAATTAGTGGAATAAATTAGTAGTTTTAATTGGCGTAGAAGTTTGTTCCTTTAATTTCAATGTAAGCATTGAGAACGTTAAAATTAGTGGTAGGAATTCTCAATTAGTGGAGAAAGTTAACAAACTTTTAACTTTTCCACTAATTATACTTCAAAATTTGCGAGAATGTCATTTTGGCTTTTGATTATCTTCAGTTAAGAGAAATCGTGGTTAGAAATCATAAGAAGACTGTTTTATAAGCTAGATATTAGGCTTAAGAAGTAGAAATTTCATTTTTATTTCGATTTTTTTTTAATTAATTTAAAATAATTTCTGAAGTAACGTCAATATTTGGATGAAAAATTGGCGTTTCGGAGTTTTTTGACATGAGAAATTTGATTTTGATGTCAGTATGACTCTTATTTATATTAAGCGCCACCTACATGTCTTTTAACAGAATGAAGAGTAATACCTTTTGGTCGGTATCTGTATAAAACTACTGAGTGAAAAAATATACATTTCAGTGACTTTTTACGTAAAAAATGTCTCTTGGTAAAAATCGCTACGAGCAACCTTTCTCAAGATATTTAGAATGGAAATAGTCAATACATGTCATTATTGACAAAAAAATAAACACGTTGGGTAGATACTTATTTGACTGAAATAATAAATCTGGGAATTTTTTTTTTAAATTAATCATAGACAACGGCCCAGCTACGTCGAAACACCGGTTCCCATAAAACACCGAAGTTAAGAGACGTAAGGCGATACTAGTGGATGAACGGGTGACCGGTTCGAAACTCTCTATCGTGCTGTTGTCCAAGAAAGGCAAAAGTGTAAAATCTATTGACACACACTGCTCATTCACGCCGGTACGAGGCCGGATGAGATCGGATATCTCGTGAGTAAGAGTCGATTTAGACACTTGCCAAATCGGTAGGCCATTGACCATGATATGGCCGAGGACCGCGGTTCGGATTCCGCGTAAACAAAGTAGGCGGATCCAGATTAGCACTGGCAGCAAAAGGGAGACGTTAACTTCAAATCTTTATTCTTTTAAATTAATCATAAATTTTTCTGCGAAAAATTGATGACTGTTGAACTTTTGCCACAAAACATTTCAAATTTGTGATCTCAGTCTAATAACTATTTAGTCAATATATCTAATGATCAATGATGACATAAATTAAACATATGGTAATGATAATTTCGACTCCAAATATCTCGAGAACCAATACTCGTAGCGATTTTTATCAAGATACATTTTTTACGTAAAAAGTCACGGAAATGTATATTTTTTCACTCAGTAGTTTTATACAGGTACGGACGAAAAGTTATTACTCTTTATTCAGTTAAAAAATATGTACGTGGCGCCCTCTGCAAATAGCAGTCATATTGACCTCAAAATCAAATTTCTCATGTCAAAAGGTTCCCAGAGACCCATTTTCATCCAAATATTGACGTTACTTCATAAATTATTTGGAAAAAAGCGAAATAACAACGCGTTTATACGAACTCTTTACTTATTTTTATCTGCAGAATGTGCTGCTGAAGTTTCCGGAATACAGGTCGAACCTCCCTGTATCCTGTCGACATCTAAGTATACTTGCATTTTCCTTGTATCTTACAGTTTTTCACACATGACTAAGAAAAATCCGTATTGTTTCAGAGACACAGCATTCATGGCATGATGGAAGAAGAAACGGGCACGAGACCACACCAAGAGATTGCGCAACTAACTTTGGACGAGAAAAAGTTCCTTTTAGCTGTGGAAAGAGGAGATGTGGCTTCCACTAGAAGGTATTTTATGCTACTGCCGAAATCTAAACTTTTATAAGCAGTGTTATTCAAAATAAAATAGCACATTTCTCATGCAAATTCTCATGCACTAGCAAAACCGGTGATAAAACTATGCTCGCTACCGTAGTTGAACTCATCTAATTTTTTTTAACCTTTAAGGTACGCGCACACTGACCAGGGCCGCATCGACCGAAGAAAAATATTGTTTGTGTTACTTTCAATGAAGGTGCGCACACTAGCCAGAGCCGCACGAATCGCATAGACGAAAATGCGGCTAGCATTGTTGGGCCAGAATGATTTTCGGTAAATGCGGCTAGTGCTGCTGACGTCACACGCAATTCCTTCCATTCTATGTAGCGTAGGTAGCCGAAGAGGAGATTAGAAATTCAATATGCTAAGAATGTTCGCAAATTTTTCTTGGCTCATATTGAAATATTAAACATTTTTTTAGTTCATCCTCAATTAAATATAGAAATAATATGCATTTTTTGCCAATATTGTGAGCCTATAACTTTCGATTTTTTCTCGTGATTTCTTCTTCTTCTATTAGCAAGGAGCTCATAATTATTTCTTGTTCGTTGTCATTTATTGTCGAGAAATATTAAAAAACACGCTTATCACCGCAGACAGGACTCCGGAAGCGACTGATGAGAAATTCGATTGGCAAATACGGGTGTAGTATGGGCAAAAAGAAACTAAATAGCGAATAATGTGGCGAGTGCGGCGCGTGCGGCTCGGATCAGTGTGAGAGACAAGAAAAACAAGTGCGATTCATGCGGCGCGTGCGGCAAGTTGGATAAAATTTTGTATGGCACTCGCGTGTTATAACATACCGTATGATCGAAAAAAAATGGCGTCCAGTTGGCTTGGAAATGACTGTCGATGACATTTCCCATATAATTTTACATATAAAACGACAGCGATCTTCATTTCATAGCCATCGCTGACGCCGTTTTTATTCGATCATACGGTATAAGTAACTTGTGAAAAACAAACCAAACCAAACATTTTCCAGCGTGACTTATATGTAAGATAACAGACTAGTACCATAAATAACTATTAATAATACATTACGGTGACGGTGCTGTTCGCCTGGAGAGCATTATAGGATGAGTAAGGTTTGTGCTCAAATGAGTGCCACTGAATCTACCTAATAGTTAAATAACATTAAAGATTCATAAAACTGTTATTAGGAAAAGATAAACATGAAAATGATCTAGTAAATCTTACTTTAGTTGTTTTATTCAAAGAAAATACCTTGTACATTACACTCGATGTACTGAACTATCAAGAACTAAGATTCTCAACAGTCGCCTTTATCGTAAAACCTGTGTTGAAGTCTTAAAAATAGGAGACGATTCACGAAACATCTATTTTCTTACGTGTCTCCTCTGTGTTTTCACTCTCGAAAGCTTTCAGGCTAGGGACGCTTTGTACGGCGTTGGCTAATGAGCAAAGACAGCAAACGACGGTCCTTATAGCGTCTAGCATACGGTGTAGAGATGGCTTATTAATATTATAAGAGCTCAGAGTGAGTTTGGAGCATAAAAATAAAGCATCAACGAAATTTTGTCTAGGAAAGAATACATTTGTGTGATTTAGGCAGGATGTTTTATAATTTAGACGTGTCTTAAAAGAATTTATACTAGAAAAGATAAGACAAAGAGGCAATTTCTTGAATATAGTTAAGTAGTCCTTTTGGTAAAGAAGATATTTTAAAAATTATATGTAGATATATGATAATTGTTAAATTCTGTTATAAGATTTCTTCAGGCATAGGATGCAATTTAGTTTTCTAGTTCAAATTTTTATTCAGCTGTAGTAATTGGGCCCAATTTTATCTATTGTTGGTTATACGCGCGCAAGTTATCCCTGCGAATTTCTTAATATCATAAACCCATCTCAGGTTTGGTTTCCTTCTAGATCCCTTAATTCCTCGTGGGCACCACGCTGTAGTTTTTGTCGTCCATCTGTTGCCCGTTCTTCTTGCCAGGTATCCTGCCCATTGCCACTTGAAGGATTTAATTTTTTGGAGGACATCTATTACCTAGGTCTTTTGTTGTATACAGTCAATTTTTTTATGGTCTTTTTTTGGCCAGTCCCAGCATATTTCGTTCTATCTAGCATTGTGCGACCTGCAGTTTTCTTATAATTTTCGTTTTAAGTGTACAGATTTTGCATGCATAGGTTATGATTGGTAGTACACATTGATCGATTTTTTTTTCTTCTTTAGATAAAGTGATATTCTAGATTTGAATAAGATTGAGTGTCATTGTGTCTACATAATAATGGGGGAACATTTACTTTACCTTTAATAACATTCTTTGTCACAAAACTTACAAACCAAAATAACATCAGTGCTTCTCGTACGATAGTTTAAAAACTATTACCTAACACTTATCATCTCTGTTCATTTCCTGATTTCCTTTCTTCCAGTTTGTGAATATTTTAAAAAGCAATAATTGTTCTTCGAAAGAGTATCTTAAAACTGAATGTTTTGAATTCAGGGTATTACATTTCGTATAGCTATATCAATAAACAGGAACTAACTCAAGAAGTCATTAATATAAAATAAAAGTTAAGTTTAACCTAAGGATCGTCCGGCGTACTCTTGCAATACCCTGTATAAGGTGGTAGTATGTTGAATAATAGGTTAAATTTTGTATTAGATTATTTGGTGCCTTGATTACGTATTCAATTCTGCGTGATCCGATTGGCTTGATTAAGTCTGTTTTACATCGGGTGTATCTATTTCCTGTTAATTTTTATGGTAATGTTACGTTTTTCGTCGGTTCCGTGTGGATAGAAAGTCACAATTTATTTACACACAATTTATTTAACACTAATTAATAAAAACAATAACGATTAAAAGACTTAAAGAACTATTTATAAACGATTTATAATTATTTACCTGGAAAGAATTTATTTTGAATTTAGCGCGGCAGCTGTATTCGTCTATTTATTTCTGTTCTCTTAAGGCCCCAGCCGTCGGATTTTAAACCCACAACTAAAGATTTCTCGAATAATTCATAGATCATTAGGTGCATAGAGAAGGTTTCGAATGTTCTCGTATGTACTACTCCATTCTAGTGGAACTCGATTCTTCTCGAACGTTGGAATGAATCATTACGGTGTCTATTCTTTAATGCGATATTAAGGTCATCTGGGAGCGTGACATATAGTTAGGTTAGGTCGAGTCCACACGGGTCCGCAACGGTAATATAGCTTAAGCTGATTTAATGCAAACAAATATTAAAAACATTATGTGTGTATTATTATACACACATATAGGGCATAAGATTTTCTACATATATATTTAAAAATAATATTAATAATATTTATAATATGTAAAATATGATATTATTTTACATAATATGATAATAAATCAGACTTGAAAAAATGTATGCCACATCAGATTTCAAATTAATGTTTCTTCCCTTTCCACTGTCAATTTTTCTTGTTTAACGCTCGCTAAGATTTATTTTCTCGGACTTGGTCAATATGTTTACACCTCTGAAACGTTATTACGATGTGACATAGAATAATGATGCTGTACAATTTTTATTGGTTATACTAAAGATATTAGAATTGTTACAGATTTGTAGCAATCAGTAGCTAAGTAGATTATTACTGTAATTGAGTACATAATTTTTTGATTCTCTCTTGATATAAAATTAAATTTTAAATTTATACATAACACAGCCACGCAAACAATAAGTGGTGTAATATGCTTTTTACCAGACCATCATATGCTATAGTATTTTTCGACGCTGAGCACGAATCCGCTATCAGAATTACGCCATCACATCTAATTTTATAGGATATGTTGGTCTGGTAAAAAGCATACACAACTTTTCTTGTGTGGCTGTGTATTCGATGTATTTTTGGTAGATATGTTATTGAATTTACTGTCCATTCGTGCCGACGCGACGCGACGGTTCAGCATGACTAAAAGCCGGGACCCCATTAGCCAACACCCGACGTGATACCACGCTGTCCCACGTGTTGCGACGTGGGAATGGGTGTACACATTAGACAACACGTGTTAACACGCCTGAAATTTTTGTACAGTTAAAAAATATATCAGTAGGATTACGAAAATATATTAGAAGTATCGATACCCATACCGATATTAGATTATAATCACAATACCAATATATTCAGAATCGAATATCGATAATTAATAAGATCAATCTTTTGTTACCGATTTTTTCTAGTTCTATTTTGTTATATTCGATGTTGAATCGATTCAAAATATCGATTTATTTTATTTTTTGGTCATCCCTACATCAGCTACAAAAGTAGATAGCTGCGGGACTAGAGAGGCAAGCGGAGAACAACACGCCGTAACACACATCGGTTAGATCTGGGACTGACGAATCGTCCATCACACGTGTGATAGCGTGTTATGGCGTCGGATGGTGTGGCATGTTACCTAGTGTTTACGCAATACATGTATTTAAATGGAAAAACATACGCACAGATCTTCACGACGTGGGGTAGCATGGCATCGCGTGGCGTGGCGTGGCATGTTGGCTAATGGGGTCCGGGCTTAGTGCGACAATAAAGCCGGGACCTCATTAGCCAACACCCGACGTGATGCCACGCTATCCCACGTGTTGCGACGTGGGAATGGGTGTACACATTAGGTAACCCGTGTTAACATGCCTGAACTATTTATTAGAATTAAAAAAGTGATCAGTAGGGTACGAAAATACTAGAAGTACCGTACCGATATTAGATTATAATCATAATACCAGTACACCAATGTATTCAGAATCGATTATCGATATTATTAAATCCATCTTTTGGGGATCAATCTTTTGTTGCTCATTTTTTCTAGATCTATCTTATTATATCTTTTTAAGATTTATTTTATTTTTGGGGCATCCTTACATCAACTACAAAAGTAGATAGCTGCTGGACTAGAGACGCAAGCGGGGAACAACACGCCGTAACACACGTCGGTGATATCTGGGACCGACGAATCGACCATCACACGTGTCATAGCGTGTTATAGCGTCAGATGACGTCGCGTGTTGCCTAGTGTGTACGCAATACATGTAATTAAATGGAAAAACATACGCACAGATCTTCATGACGTAGGGTAGCATGGCATCACGTGGCGTAGCGTGTTGGCTAATGGGGTCCGGGCTTAAGGGCCTTGTTGCGTGTACTAACAATTTCGTACCTGGACGAATATTTTCAAGCAAACAAGTGAGCAGTGAAAACCGAAGAATGATATAACCGTTGATATAACTCATAGTCTAAACATATCGGCACCAAATATAGGGACCAAAATCCAGGGACCTCCTAATTAACAAAACAACATCTTTCGATTTCTGTTTTTTTTTTGTTTGACTTTGTTACACCATCCTAACTTATGCTGAACAAGCCGAGTCATTTTGCCGTCTGATTTGTTATTCCTCGCAGAATATTCAGTTAGGCAGGCGTTAGTTTAATTAAATTGAAAAGTTATTTCGGTATTCCGATAACACAGAAATCATATATTAGTTTTACAAATCACGCACCTGTCAAAACTTGGAAATCTAATTCAATGAAATATTGTTAGCGAACTCTACGTAGAAGCTAATTATTATTCTTGCAACAATATTTGATGTTGAACATAAAATTTTCACAGAGTTTGTAGATTAGTTAAGTTTATTTATTTTATTGAAATATTAATTTATTTAGTTATTTCTATATTATAACAAATAAACGAACTAAATTTGCCTGATGGATACGTCAAAAAAGAGAAGGGGAATCATAGTTCCTCAAATTGTGAATTTCTGAAAAAGAGTACAGAATGTTTAAAATTCAAAGATGAACTTTATAGGATTTTGAAAACTATAAGAAATATGAAAGAGGACATATAATGGCAAAGCTTCGCCATTGTGTGTACAATGTTTTGAAATGATGATTTGAAAATTTGAATACTTGGTATGAAAAATATTAAGAAAAAATAAAGTTTGCAATTTTTTATTTTTTTTCTTGCTTTTTTTGACGAGGAGATGTGTACTTTATCATTGCCTTTTTTTTTATACAGGTTGAGTCTTAAATAAGTGCAAATATTTTTAGGGGTAGTATATTTCGACCTTATAAACTCGATTTTGCGAAAAAAAATTGGAATATTTCTTTTGTTTCTTAATTAAAAAACATAATATCTTCATAGTACGGCAACATAGGTTGTAGATTAAAATTACAAGAAAGAAAATCCAGGAAATATCCAGGGGTTCTCAAAATTTTAGCAAAAAAATTTTAGAAATTTTCAAAGTAAAATAACTCTTAGTAAAATAACTTTTATTTTGGATTTATTTGAAAAACGGTAAAGAGAAAATATGTTTCTTTTATCGAGATCTACCAGCCCTGAAAAGATTCGCACTTATTTAAAACTCGCCCTGTATAAGATGGTGCTATTAAATGTTAAATCCACGTTTCTTTTTTGATATGATGAGATAATCATCATTAAGCTTTTTTAAATACGGACCTAGACTTTTATTTTTTTTAAAGCTTATTATTTTCCAAATCCAATGACGTAGCATACTTCAAAACATGTATAATAAAGAACAATTCTTATAAGAGGCAATGCGTTGGACAGGGATGGGTATACGGTTTTACTTTTTTCATTTTCCATCATCATTAAAGGGTGTTCATTTAAAAAAATCAAGAAAAATTATTTTATATTTTAGTAAGTTTTGCGTAGAATTTTGAGAACCCTGTATGATTTAACACTACGATATATACGGGATATCCCTCTTAAGATGGATACAAACCAATATCTTGGTTGTTTGAGTGATCTTTTTCATTTTTGGCAGGAGGCTGTATGGCTATAAGACGTACATTTTGCCCAGGGTAAGAAATGCGATACCTCATAGACGTACGTTTTAATGGCGTTTGATATTTTTTGAGTCAAGAGTAAACTACCCTTAGGACAGTATATATTTCAAATCTGATAAATTATATTGAATTCTCCTTACCTAAGATACTTAAGTTCTATTTTTTATAAATATTGATACAGGGAGTCATTAAAATAAGACATTTTTATTTTTATTATTATTTTTTTAAGTAGGTACTTACGACGCCACTGGATAAACAACTGGTTTATTATCAATAACCAATTTATATCCAATTATCAATTAATAATCGAATGTTGGTCGAAGATGTTTAGAGCATATTTTTCAAAGTTAATTGTGATTGTTTTAAATAATTATTTGTTTTTTTTTAAATATTCCTCAATAAAACGAATAAAAATCATATTTCAGATTCCATTGAAACTGGGTTTTTAAATTATTTTGTAAGTCATTTTATTCATTTGTTAATGAATAAAATTAGTTAATTATTCATTAGCAAACTTAAAAAACAATTTTTTAAAGTAAACAAAATAAATTGAAAATATTTAGTTTTTTTTGTATCGTATCTTAATTATCATGAAAGGTATCTGAAGACTTAAATCGATTATTAATTGATAATTGGTTATAATTGGTCATTGATAATAAACCAGTTGTTTATCCAGTGGCGTCGTAAGTACTTAAAAAAATAAAAATGTCTTATTTTAATAACACACCCTGTATCAATATTTATCAAAATTAGAACTTAAGTATCTTGGGTAAGGAAGATTCAATATAATTTATCAGATTTGAAATAAATACTGTCCTAAGGGTAGTACTCTTGACTCGAAAAATATCAAATCCCATTAAAACGTACGTCCATGAGGTATCGCATTTCTTACCCTGGGCAAAATGTACGTCTTACAGTCATACAGCCTCCTGTCAAAAATGAAAAAGATCGCTCAACAAACAACCAAGATATTGGCTTGTATCAATCTTAAGTGGGACAACTTTTATATAGTAAAGTCAGTATAGACCATCTAAAGTAAATACCTAATATAGTTTTGATTTCAGGACAGCAATTGTGTTTGTAATATTTTTTTTTAAAAAGGCTGAAAATATATATTTTTTTGTATATCTATTAAATATCTCTGACACTAATAAATATCTTTACTCATATCTTAGGATTTTATAGAGTGATCTGAAAGGAAGCCAAAAATGTAACAATATACATATGGGGAAATTCAATTTAAAACATATGCCGATCCACTCAAACTTTTTTGAGCCACCCTGTAGAAGTTAAAATATTTTTCTAAAGATATATTTTCCTATAATAAAAAAAAAGTTTTTTATTCTGGAAACTACAGACGCCCGACGCACTATTATTCCCGGACCCTATATATTATATTTTCTGTCTTTCTTTCCAGAATGCTTCAAAGAGCTCGAGATACCAGTTACATCAACATCAACTGCGTAGATCCGCTGGGTAGGAGCGCTTTGCTTATGGCCATAGACAACGAAAACCTGGAAATGGTCGAACTGCTTATCGGATACAAGGTAGAGACCAAAGACGCACTTCTTCACGCTATATCAGAAGAATTTGTTGAGGCTGTTGAGGTTTTGCTAGACCACGAAAAGACTATACACAAAATAGGAGAACCTCATGCAAGTATTCTTAGCCAATTTAATGTAGAGTAGTAGACATGTAACTTTATAGAAGGTGTTTCAAAAACTTGTTTTATTACTCCTGGGCAGGTTCCTCACGTAAAAATAAAAAATATGAAAAGAAGTTCCTATAGGTGGGGAAATGCATAGTTTCAAGTTACTTTTGTAATTCTCTTATTTTTTCTTTCTTCTATCAGTGTGATTAAATAAATGGTTTATTAATTTTATTTTTGTTTTAATTTTATTAATTGTGATTAAAAATATCTAATCGAAAAAAAAATGAAGATTTTACTCCTGTAACTACGAAAAAAAAACAGAAATGTACCTACGTTGATATAAAAAAATAATCCTATTTTTATGTGAGGAATCTCATCATCATTATGTGAGGAATCTCATCTCAACACATATTTTTTGGAACACCCTGTAGATTGACTTTGCAATAATTGCATTTACAACAAATAGTTGAATTAGTTATAGATATAAATAAGACTTTTTTATAAATTTCTTCTGATTGTTTCATTAAACGGCAACATAAATAGTTTTTGAACTTATTTTTAAGAACATCAAAAATTTGGGTGAAAAGAAAGATTATTTAGGAATTTTCTACAAAATGCTAAGGGCTGATATTTGCAAAATTATCAGACAATTTTACAGTGGCCAGAAAAACATTTTATAGGACATCGTTAAATGATATATAAAAGGTAATTAAAACATGTTTATTGCTGAGATATCTTTTGTTATATTAAGATATGTTGTTATGATTTGTTATATTAAGATATGTTTTTAATAGTGTGTGCATTTTGATATTTACAGTCGATCATCATTTTCGTGTTACAGCGCTTTCAGATGGTCCGGTCCGCGCGTATGTTTTTTCAAGATAGCTCATCCGGACGGAGCATACGCGACCCATGTGAAATCGTTCATATAAACTCATGGTACTTGCTCGAAGTCGCGGACGGTCCGTCGCGGACGCTCCGCTCCATCTGAAAACGCTGTTAGATACTAAACTTTTTTATTAGACATTTTGACATTTTAGAAATAATAAATTTATGAACCAAATAAAAAAATAGTTTAATCATAAAAAAGTAAATACATAGTTGCTAATATACCGGGTGCGTCTCAAAAGTGGCTCACCCCTATAAATTATTTTTTCAGTTAAAAAAAAACGAGGTTTGGTAAGTTAGTATGTGACATAATTAGTTAACAGTTTCACCGGAAATTACTACAACTTTTGATTTTTGAATGGCACCCTCGGTATTTTTTTTAATTTATTCGATAGAAACATGGCTGGGAAACTTAAATGGAAATGACAGTTTATTAAAAATAGTTTTTCCTCCAAGATGCAGAGGCGCAAAATATTAAAACTGTCAATATTAACAATGCAAATGTCAATATCTGACAATAATAAAATTTGATTTTTTAACTGTCACTCAGAGACGCTTTTGTTGTGATTTTACGGTTTGATTTCGTTTTGATTTGTCGAATTATTGTAAAATTAAATTCCTTCAGATTTTTTGCCAGTATTCTGTTTTAGACAATGTTTTTTAAAAATGGTGGGACAATTTGTGTTTTGTAATAACTCTTACTTATTTTTTATCATGGAGTTTAATTGTTGTACACCTGGTTTCCGAAGGATACAATGGTAAGTAAATTAAACATATCTTCTTACAGTTATAGATTTTTTAAATTAGTACTGCTAATAAATGCTATTTGCAGAGCAGTTATTTAATTTTTTTACGGTGCATGTAAGGAATTAAGGACGCGCGTTTTATATTAGCATGATCAGCAAATGATTACATCTAATTTAATTTGTTTTTATTATTTCAGGTCCCAAACGGAAACAAACTGGGAATCTTGCCTACACCAAAATTATATAGCCGTTTCCAATTCACTTCAAAGGGAGGAAAATTATGTAAAACTGCCTGCTATTTGCTGAAAACTGCCAAAGATTAAATTATAACTGTAACAACTTAATATATACTATTTCTAGTCTTTTTAATATATTTTTTAATTAATATCCGACATATAAGAACACTTTGTATGCTTTTAATTCAGTTGATTTATCGTTTATAATATGTTCAACCTAATTAAAAGCACACAAAGTGTTCTTACATGTATGTCTAAATTTATTTTAAATTAACTAAAACAGCCCCCCTTCTCCGCACCCCTCTCTTCTATTAGTATTTCTTCCTCCGTCTACTAGAGGCGCCCTTGTATAATAAAATTGAAATGTATTATAAGTTGCCTATCTATTTAATAGTATAAGTCTTTTATCTATGGATAGAAAATAACACTCTGAATAGAATGACATACTCGTATCATATCATATACAAACTAAAATATATAGGAAACTGAAATGATACCGTCTGTTGGAGAATTCAGTGGCGCCATGCATCGGGTCGTTACAGAACTTATGATACAATTTTATTTTATTTTACAGGAAACTTTACATTTTAACTATAGGTAACTATGTTGTTTTGTCCACTCTAGCGCCATCTATTATCAATTTTTTGGAACGTAATTTATTTTTTTTGTACAGAAATAGGTAATTTTTCTTCTATTTCTTATTTTTTAATAAGAATAAGTTACTCTAAGAAGCACTGTTTTTCGCACGCGATGAATAATTAAAGTTGTTTTAAGCAGGCCTTTTTAATTTTAGTATTATGCGTAGAGAAATATTATCTATGTGACGATTTGATAAAAACATTGGATTCATGTAATCATATAAAAATGCCTTTTATTCTGCATTTTTCCTCAATTTCTACCCAGGTGTTGTCTCGCCTCAATTCATTATGATAATTTGCGTTCTTAAAATAACTCTTTGTAGCTCTGTATAATCATAATGAATGTTTCACCATCCTTGATCTCAGTAATTAAACTGAATTCACAGGTTGTACGATTCCTTTGCTATGCTTCCGATCTGAAACAAATAAATATGTATAATTATGTGACACATCAAAAAAACCTCGAGTATGGTTTTTATAACGTAAAAATCCTTTTATAAGCAGGATTCAAAAACAATTGCTAATAAAGCAAATTTACATTTTTGAGTAGTATGCTCCACTTATTATATTTTTTAATTCTTACCTAACTTGGGTGTAAACAACTGCCTGGGTTAAATTCTTAAAAGAGGTCTTACAAGAGAAAGATCTTACCTCACTCGCAAAAACTGCATCATCTCCACTCTGGAAGATTCCTGGTTTTGGGATATCTGATCCTTTCTCTAAAATGATAGATACAATTTAAAAAATCTAAAACGATAATTTTAATAAACCAAATTCAGTTTCGATTCGTAATACATATTAACATTTTTAATAAACTTTGGAATATCTAATAATTATTGAATCACTCTCTGCCAAATTAAAGTAGCCAGTGCCATAACTTGTTTATTTACAGCTCAATTAACATATTTTTTGTTATAAAGTTGATATGATATTTTTTTTAAAATAATCTTCATTACTGAATATTTTGCGATTTTAATTTGGCCCACGGTGCGGTGTAGGTACCTACCCTTTTCAGTTACTGCTTTTCTCAGGTAACAGTACAAGTCTAATTCCAACGAGAGAGTGGTCCACCAACAAGTTCTACAACAAATGTTTGTTTTTAAATACAAGGTTTGTACCTGGATCGACATCACTGGATACCAAATTACCAGTAGGTTGATCATCTAAAAGATTATTTTAATTTTATTAGATCAAAATATCTGAAAACGTTCTTTATTTAACTAAATTTTTAACTATTTAACTTACCCATATAAACTGGTGTATATAAAAAGTCACTTGGAAGATAATTAACTTCTAAACCTCTTTTTATGCCAGGTACGTAATCTTGATTATAAAAATGTAAATCACAAACTCTATAAATCTTTTAAATATCTTGCTGGGTTGTATTTTCCATTTTAAGGTTTCGCACTTGATATCACTTTTGGAATAATGTAGGATCGTTCTTCGAGAATGTATGTCTTTTGGAAAACAAATCCATGCACGCCGACGCCGGCACAACATACTTATGAAAGGGCTCGTGAAAGGGTTTACGGCCTGATTCCATCATTATTTTTAATAAAAAGCTTAAACAATCACTAAAATTTCAGTAAAACTTTTTTCGATTTTTGACGGTGCATATTATTTATTTGATTAGAACTGACTTGATTTGATTTGAAGTGCCAAAAAAACTTCGCCTTAAGCGCGACCGGTGGTTCGTCACGGAACTAACAAATTTGTGTATAACTGGTTGCGGTGAAAAAGTCCTTTCAAAGATCTCAATTTCAGTTTCCCATATATTTTAGTTTGTATATGTATCATATGTCAACTTTTGCCATTTTCGCATATGGTTTATTTGAAATTATAACTGGCAGTTCGTAAGGAAAATTTGACTTGAAATACCAAGTGTGTGGTATCAAATTATTCGTAAAAAAATCTTTTTCCAAATGTGCTAATAAGCCACCCTCGTTCCATTTGAAAAATGGAGATATGATTAAAAATACGATTTGAGCATTTTCTAACTGGCCAGGACAAGAGACTGAAAACATTAGACGATCAAATCTATATTTCAAACGCTCCTTGATTAAGAATTAGTGTTTTTAACATAGTCATATAAGTTAGGCACACAAAATTTTAAAATACGATTTTTTAATAAGCGAGAATGTCAAAAGTTGACATATGATATGTCATTCTATTCAGAATGTCATTTTCTATCGAATAAAGTAAAAAAATACCGAGAGTGCCATTTAAAAATCAAAAGTTGTAGTCATTTCCGGTGAAAAAGGAAGTGGCCAAAAACTATTGAATGCATCAATCAATCCTAATTTATGTCATATACTCACATACCAAATCTCGTTTTTTTATCTGAAAGAATAAAAAAGTTATAGGGGGTGAGCCACTTTTGAGACGCACCCGGTACAGTATTTTTAGTAACAGTTAATTAGTAGTGATATATTTTAGTATCGTATTTTTGCTATATTATAATTTATTTTATAAATAAAAAAACTAGGCGCTATATGCTCTATGAAGTTGCAGTTGGTGTTTAAAATAGATATGTATTCATAATTCTATTTTCGTTTTGACTGTGTTACACTTCTAATGATCTAATAAAACATAAAATGGTCGTAAAAACGTATTAATTTTTATTAATTTATTATTTTATATTTTACAAGGAATGATTTTGGGATTGAATAAAGTTGCCGTTTTAGTTAGCGTGAATAAGAATAACGGAACGCTAAAATTATGCTATGCCAAAACTCTCCATTAGTTTCTTCAGGATCACCAGGTGGCTCGAAATAAGGGATCTATTTGTTTTATATCAGAGTCATATATACCTATTTCTAGTACATGACATTAGTCTATGTGCTAAAATTAATCATGACTTGTCTTAATCATGACTTAATCAGAGCTCTGTAGTAAATCAATAAATTCCTAAACTAAATCAAATAGTAGTCAGGATTATTTTTTAGCCAATAATTAGCTTAAAAATTAGATTAATGTTATTTTTGACCCAGGTTCTCGATCCAGTTAGTTTAATTGGTAAATTGATAGACAATATACCATACTATAAAAAACAAGATTTTTCGGAATGAGATTAATAGATCAGTAGATGACTTATAATGATCGATCTATCAATAAAAACTAAACTTTTGTTTACTTATAATATAATACTTTTAATATGCCTATTACGTCAATAACTTGAGAATTTTTATATATTTGAACAAATGTAAGACTAGAGTTTTATACCAAAACGCCTGTGTTTTTTACAAAAATACTTTATTATTTTTTTAGTAAAGTTGTGGGGGTGAGTTATTGTTTACTCTTCTTTCTAGGCATTTTTTGAAAAAGTGAAACGATGCATTTACATATGTACACAAAAAGACGGACTGAATACAAGATAGATTTTTGTTCTCATAACAGCAGATATGTCTAAAATATCTAAAATATTTGTTGATATTACATATTATAAAAATAAAATATTTATCTATCTATATCATCGAACCATTAAAAATGTAAGTGTATATCGTAAATTCTTAAGTTATGAATTTTGATGTATAGCAAGAAATTTAATTTCATAAATTTATAAAAGAAAACTTTATATTTTTACTATATATACATTAAATATTTAAAATTTTATAAGTGTTTAGTTTATTATATATTTATATAACAGTATGTCAACGGATTGCCTTTACAACAGGAAACACTTTTTTATTACCGATATTTTGGGAAAATTATATTCATCATAAAAAATTTTGCTTATTCTAAAATGGTTAATCCTGTTTGTACCAAATTTCCATATCATTTTAGAGAAAATTTGAAATAATATGAAAATATCGTGTTGACTTCCTAAAAATCAAAAGGCGTTTCTATGGTAATATTTCGATTTCAGTCTTTGATGGAGGGTTATTATTAATTTTGATTAACGTCATATTTTATGCTGTTGTTAAAGTACCACATTTTCAGATAACTATTATTATCAGTCTTTCCATAGCATTGAACTAATAAATTTTGTGCTTCTTTAACATTTTAAATCAGTAAAAAATATGACTTTAATTAAAATGATCTTAATAACAAACTATCAAGTAATGAAAACGAAATTATATTACCATAGAAACGCGTTTTTATTTTTAGGATTTAGAAAAAAATATACAATATTTTCATGTTATTTCAAATTTTCTCTAAAATAGTATGGAAATTTGGTATAAACAGGATTAACCAAAAAATTCAACAAAATTTTCATGTTTTTAATTGGAACTTAGAATCAAGTTTCTCCTATAATATAAGAATGGAATTATCAAGAAAGGTACGCAGGGTTCCATGCAAATGATTGTAAATCGACATGCTGGTTACAACTAGGTTGTTGTAGAGACTATGAAGGATAATACAGGGTGGTTCGAACTGTATTCTGGAAACTTTGGCAGCATATTATGCAGATAAAAATAAGTAAAAAAGTTCGAATAAATGTATATCCTAAAATGCTTAGTTTCGGAGATACAGGGTGTTAAAGTTTAATTTTTATTTCGATTTTTTCCAAATAAGTTCTAAAGTTCCGGTAATATTTGGATGGAAATTGGTGTCTGGGAGTTTTTTTACATGAGTGTATATCCTTTATATGTAATAAATGTATATCCTATGTAATAAATGTATATCCTAAAATGCTTAGTTTCGGAGATACAGGGTGTTAAAGTTTAATTTTTATTTCGATTTTTTCCAAATAAGTTCTAAAGTTCCGGTAATATTTGGATGGAAATTGGTGTCTGGGAGTTTTTTTACATGAGAAATTTGTATTTATGTCATTATGACTCCTATTTGTATGGGGCGCCACCTACATGTGTTTAAACTGCTTTGAAAAGTAATAACTTTTCGTCAGTACCTATAAAACTACTGAGTGAAAAAATATACATTTCCCTGATTTTCTACGTAAAAAATATATCTTGGTAAAAATCGCGACGAACAATCGTTCTCAAGATATTCAAAAACAAAACAATAAATAATACAAAAAATAAACACCCTGAGTAGATAGTTATTTGATTATTTGATTGGAATAACAAATTTGGGAAATTATTATTTTTTTTAAATTAATCATAAAATTTTCTGTGAAAAAAATGACGATAAAACAGTTTTTCCTGAACTTTTGACACAGAACATTTCAAATTTATGATTTCACTCTAATAACTATTTAGTTAACAAGTAATTTATGTCAGTGATGACAGGTATTGACAATTTCCATTCCAAATATCTCGAGAACCTTTACTCGTAGCGACTTTTACCAAGAGAACTTTTACGTAAAAGACTTCGTAGATGTATATTTTTTTACTCATTAATTTTATATAGGTACGGACGAAAAGTTATTAGTCTTCAAACCAGTAAAAAATATGTAGCGCCCCCTACAGGTAGGAGTCATATTGACATCAGAATCAAATTTCTCATATCAAAAAACTCCCAGACACCAATTTTCATCCAAATAGTGACGGAACATTCAAAATTATTAGGAAAAAAACGAAATAAAAATGTAACTTCTACACCCTGTATCTCCGAAACTAAGCATTTTAGGACATACATTTATACGAACTTTTTATTTATTTTTATCTGCAGAATATGCTGCCGAAGTTTCCGGAATACAGTTCGGACCACCCTGTATACGTCTCTCCAAATCACGCAAGGACTATTATATCCGACGACACCAGCAACAAACTACGAAAACAAAAATAAATGAGATAAGCAAATTGTTTGCGGTATGTTTGATCCGAAAAAGTGACACTTTACTGACGTAGTTCTTGGAATCGACGTCCCGTTTAACGATATGCAAACGAGAAAAGGGATGAAATGACAGGGTGAAAAGGGAAATTGTCTAGAAAAGAGAGACCGATATAGCGGATAGTTTAACAGTTGTTTAGATTGATGCACAATATGGTGGCGTAATGGTGTTTGTTTGTTCGTTGGGTTTAAGTTGTTAGGAATAAACGATGCCAATATGCCGAGTTGCTTGTAGGCTGCGATTTATTTGGGTTTAATAATATCTCTGAACTTTCGACGCCTTGAGGGATGGTTACAATAATTGTTTGTACGAATAGGAGATATTCACTCATAGGCACGAAAAACGGGCACCTTAAAGTTTTGATGTATGTAAAGTTATATACTCCTATTATTTTTAACCCTATTTTCATGATTTTTTAGCAAACTGTATATAATTATGTTAACTTTAATTCGTAAACTAAGTTT